GCGGGAGAAGGAGATGGAGATGGAGAAATGGAGAATAAATAGGAACAGGAGAAAGGATATGTCATTGAGAATAAAATAAAGCCGAGGTTGACTTTCAGCACACTGTCCTCACCATCCCCCTCTAACAAATGCTGGCTCATCCTTAGCATGCACTTTGTAAAGCTCGCCCTTTCATCCAGTGCACACAATGCCTGTCATGTGTGGCTTTCCTAAGTGTTTGCCTTCTTTCCTTGGAGATTTGGAAACATTTTGGCTGTGAGTTTCTGTTAATCAGTTATACAGGCTGGAATGAGTCCAGGCTCCCATGCAGTATTCCATCAGTGTCTAAAGAGCTGGGGATTTAGCTAATAATTTAGGTAATATCAGGCCAGACGAATGACTTTAAATGTCTAACATTGTTTTGCGTATCTTTTAAAAATATTTCTCTTATAACTGAGTTTTAGCAAAAATAAACTCATTTGATGATTACAGTTTGGTGATGTTTTTGGTTGTTGTTGTTATAGTTTCCTGCCCGTTGCTCTGATAAAACAAGCTGACCAAAAGCAGACTAGAGAAAGGAAGGATTTCTTTGGCTTACACTTGCAGGTCCCAGCCCATCCTTGAGTGGAGCCAGGACAAGAACTCAAGCAGGAAAGGACAGGCAGAAGCCCTGTGGAGAAGCTGCTTGCTGCTCAGTCAGGCTCAGGCCTAACTAGGTTTTCATACAGCGGAGGCCCACCTGCACAGGGAACCCTTCTGCTCACAGTGAGCTCGGCACTCCACCCCAACCACAGATTGAGAAATCTCCCATAGACAAGCCCACAGACCAGTCTGACCTAGGTGATCCCTCAGTGGAGAGACTCCCTTCTCAGGTGAATTTAGGTTGTGTCACAAAGGAAACTATGACAGTTTATGTATAACTTTTTATGTTCAGAATGGTCAACAGTCACGACAATTCCCATTCAACCCAAAGACATCCCTTAACCCTAACCCAGGACAACTTTTACCCTCACCCCCCACACCCATCTCCATGGACTTGCCTATCACCGAAATTTCCAATAGAGTTTGTGATCCTTTGTGTCAACATTCTCGGTATGTTCTTAAGTTCATCCATGTACAAAATGTCAACACTTCACTTTTGTGGCTGAATATCATTATGAGTATGAAAATCTCACTTTTTCTCCCAGCTTATTGGCATTTGGGTTTCCATAATTTGAACAAGTTTGTGTGTGTGTGCGTGTGGGTGTGTGTATACGTGTGCCTGTGTGTCTGTGTGTGTGTGTGTGTGTGTGTGTATGTAAAGTAAAGCTCTTCTGGAGTGCCACCATGTGTTCAAGGCTCTCAGGGTATGCTGCTCCTTCCTGCAGTTCTGGAGAAGCCTTTAGACTTGTCCTTTCTCTCAACTCTTGCACCCCTCATGGATGTCTTCATTTTCTGAGTTCACATGGCCCTATTTCTGAGGATCAGACAGCTTTTAAATTCACTCTCTCTTCTGCACAGCCCTGGGTTCAGGCTGACCACTTCAACTGCTCCTCCATGCCTTTTAAGAACACAGCAGGGCTGTGCCTCCCCACCTTCTGTAATTCCCTCCGTGCTGAGGAAGAAGCTTCAGCAGGTGGAACCATGGAGGTGTCACAGCCCTCTTGCAGGCCTTAGGGACTCAAGTAGCAGCTCTTGGCCCTGGTCTGAAGATGTTTTCTGGAGTGTTTCCAGCACCCCATACTCTCAGTTCTTTCCTCTGGCTCCTCACAGCCCTTTATTCTTCTCCAGTGTAGACATCCCTTATCTTGCTGTCCTCACTTACCCCTCCCTGTTCTTCTTTCTTTCCTCTGGATGCCCCCAAACTATGTAGCTTCTTCAAGTTTAGCTTTTAACAGGCTGACATGTCTCTTCTGTAGCCTGGCTGCCAGCACTCAGCTACTGTTGCTTCTTCCATGTTACTCAGTCAGCCCACACTCCTGACAGTAGGCCAGAAAAGACCACACAAAGTAAAGATGTTCACAGGAGAGTTTCCCTGGAACAGCTCCACCAAGTGGGCCTGAGCAGCTACTGCAAAGATGTTTGAACCAATCCTAGCCTGCCTTGCCTCTTCGGCTATTTGAACAGACCAACCACAACCTTGCCTCCTTAGCACCAATCACAACAGCTCCTCTGCCAGACCATGGAAGCTGTTAGCTAGCCAAGTGGCTTGGGTTGATCCATTGCTCAGTGATTTGGAGTTCTAGAAGCAAATCCTCTGGTCTAAACAACAATGAATGGAATCAGTGGACATTTGCCCTCAGGAGTCAAGACAATCTTTGTCCGTGGTTGTTTCAAGCCATCCACGGAGAGTTGAGTTTGGTTTGTTCTGGTTTAGAAGTACTCTGGCCATTATACAAGTCATTTTGCTTAAGGTAGGCAACTCAGCACGTAGAGTGCGTCTGCTGCTAATGAGGGCATCAGTTCGCCTTATCCACCAAGCACTTGCTTATTTTCAGGAAACTACATATCAGAGAACATTACCATATTAGTTTATTATTAAACTTATAGTGATTTTTTTTAATGGTACCCCTGAGAAGGTGTACCCCCCAAATCTGTAAGAGTAACACCACAGGCTGAAGAGGCAAGGCATGATGTTTCTTTGTGTACTTGAAAGGGAGTGTATCTCTGTCCACATCTGAATTGTACTGAATGCCTCCAGAAGGATGAGAACCAAGCACACACTCCAGGCCTACACATTCTGTGTAGAATTGGGCTCTACAGCCCAAGGAAGAAAAAACCTTTCCAATTAAAACCCTCTGCTGCTGTTCTGGCCATCTCCTAAACTCCTGGCATCTCTGCACTTCAGTTTGTGTCAGAATATCAAAGCAGTGAAATGCAGTTACACCTATGTGTGAACCACCATGTGAAATCTGGGAATTCTGGCCCTCTGGAAGAACCATCTCTCCAGCCCCAATTTCTCCAGTGTTCTAGTTTCATTTCTGTCTCTGTGATTAAATGTCCCTTCACAAAAACAACTCAAGGAGGGAAAGGGTTTACTTTAACTAACAGATTCCAAGTTACAGCCCATCATAACAGGGAAGTCAAGGCAGCATGAAATTGAAAGCTATGAGTGCATGCATGCATGCTGCTTGCTTGCTTCCTTGCCTATACTCAGCTGGATTTCTCCACTGTTATACAGTTCAGGATCACTCTACCTAAGGAATAGTGATACCCACAGTGGGCTGTGTCCTCCCAAGTAAGTTAACTCAATTAAGAGAATCCCCCTCTCCCACCACAACACAAACATACACAGGACAACCCAAAATAGATGGTCCCAGACTGAGAGCCTCTTCCCTAGTGAAGACAGTGTGTGGTGACTGTCCCACAGAACTTGTGCTCCCAAAGGTCTTTATGTGGGGCGTAAATTGTATTGGAAGAATGGACTTTCACAGATGTGTATAGTCACCTCATCCATTCAGTCTCAGGTGAAAGCTAGCTTTTGTCAAGTTACTTCTGTTACATCCCCTGCAAGGCAGTGGACTGGTTTGTGTGGACTTAGGGAAAAGCTCTTTCTCATTTTCAAATGTCTGCCTCTGTTGTGGGACCAAGTCTACTGAGTTCAGTTCTTACATGACCTTAACCTTAATCAACCATGGAACCTCAAGCATTGAGTTAAATAGTTCACTTTCAGCAAACTATTCAGAGAGAGAGAGAGAGAGAGAGAGAGAGAGAGAGAGAGAGAGAGAGA